AAGTGTAGTATGAGTACATAAAAAATATGTATCCAGTAAGTATCCCGTCTAATCTCGAAGAAGTAGAGACGAGAGGTCGACTCGATACTTACTAGGGTCAAATAATATGAGAAGGAATTTATAATAAGCATGGATAGCACAATTTACTAGCATTGTATGGCAAGGAATAACAGTTCTTTTCTCCAAATAATATCATGGGTATCCATTTACTTTTCAAGGCATATATGAAGTTCAGTCCACAGAGAAATACTAAGTAAGGCATGCACAAGTAATACCGAGGGACGTATGGCCCGATCCAACATAAAAGTAAATTGTGCATTGCCGAGGGTCGAACGGCTCGAACCATAGATGCATCTATTACCCCGCTCGCAAATCACACGTGCGATGCGGTCAAATATAAATAAACTCATCAATAAGCAGACAATAATTTATATCGGGGGAGTAGTTATTCACAGGAATATTCAAATTCTCTTTTAAAAGACCAAGCAAGATAAGGTTTCTCTACTAGTCTCATTTACCTTAATCAACATAATTTATGCGAATCTAAATTTATCATCAAGTTACAAGAATATCACATAGAGCATGCTTTTGGGTCCTAGACTACCCGGGCATAACATAATAGTAGCTACGCACAGACTCTTATCAACTTGTGCGTACGTAGCCCAGCATATAATACCAATTAATTGAATTATTATACCTATGGGGACAATTCCCTCTTACAAGGTTAGAAAGGAGACTTACCTCGCTCCAAAGTGCACTTCCAATACCAAAAATGAGTCCAATCCCTCAATTCGGAGCCGAACAATCCCAAACTAGTTAAATGAGGTAGGAACTAGTCAATATAGACTCACAAGATCAAATTCTAGCTATTTAAGCAATTTTTCAACCTTTAAGACAAGTTTCCTAAAATCCGACCCCGGGCCCACGTGCCCGGATTCCGAAATTTTTCGAAGAAAGTTGTTCTCTATAACCTAAGGATCATTAATATATGATTTCTAATTCATTCTATAACAAATTTCGTGGTTAAATCTAGCTTTTATTAAAACCCTAGGTTTTGCTCTAACCCCTTGATTTTACTTAAATTCTAGTGTTCAACCTACCCACGACACAATTATAAAACTAAGAATTAGTGGGATAAACTTACCTCAAGATGCTAAGTGGAAGTCTTCTCTCAAAAGCTCCCAAAATCTCCAATGGAGGAGTGAAAAGCGGTAAAAATGACTTAGAACCCGTATTAAATGAAGCTCACTGCTTCAGAAATTTCCGCATATGTGGTCCCGCTTCTGCGAGGAAGAGACCGCATCTGCGAAAATGGGCCAAGAGTGTTGGGATAGCTTCGGCAGTCTTGAAGCCGCTTCTGCGGCTTGGGAGCCGCTTCTGCGGTTCCTGGCCTGGCCTGCCCTGGGCCGCATCTGCGATGGGAGGACCGCTTCTGCGGTCTAGCACCTGCGGTCAACCAAAAGCAAGTGCGGTTATGACAGAAGCAGATGCTTCAGCACTTCTCAAAATTTCTAAATTTGCTCGAGACTCGTCTGATTGACGCTCGGGGTTCCCGGGCCCCGCCCGAATATACCAAAAAGTCTAAAATCATGAAACGGACCTACTCAAACCTTCGGAACGCCTGAAACAGTGCTAAATCTAAGAATCACTCCTCAAAACCAATTGAGTCAAACTTATGAGCTTCAAGTTCTTAAATTTTCCTCTAACAAGCCGAAACGCACTTAAACTACTCGGATTGACACCAAATTTTGCGGGCAAGTCTTAAATATTATTTCGGACCTGTATCGGGGTTCAGAACCAACATACGAGCCCGATACCCGTGTGATCAATCATTAATTAGTTTCTTTAAATCTTTAAAACTTCAAATTAACAATTTCTAATAAAAAATCATTACTCGGGCTAGGGACCTCGAAATTCAATTCGGGGCATACGCCCAAGTCCCATATTTTTCTATGGACCCTCCGGGACCGTCAAATCACGAATTCGGGTCCGTTTGCTCAAAATATTGACCAAAGTCAAACTTAACCTTTTAAGAAATCCTAAGGAATCAAATGGGCATATTTCACTCCAAACTCTTCCAAATCCCGAACCAACCGTCCCCGCAAGTTGTAAATTAGCTAAAGCAAGCGCGGGAAGTTTTATTTAAGGGAACGGGGTTCTAAAAGGCAAAACGACCAGTTGGGTCGTTACATTCTCCACCTATTAAACAAACGTTCATCCTCGAACGGACATAGAAAAGTACCCGAGCTGCCGAATAAATGTGGATATATGCTCCGCATGTCCTCCTCGGACTCCCAAGTCGCCTCCTCGACTGGTTGGCCCCTTCACTGGACCCTCACCGCAGAAATACTCTTGGACCTCAACTGATGATCCTGTCTATCAATAATGGCAACTGGCTCCTCCTCACAACCCAAACTCTCATCCAGCTGAATAGTACTAAGGTCCAACACATGGGATAAGTCGGTATGATACTTCCGAAGCATCGATACATGAAAAACCGGATGAACTCCCAATAAGCTGGGGGTAAAGCCAGCTCGTAAGAAACCTCTCCAACTCTCCTCAACACCTTAAATGGGCCAATAAACCTTGGGCTCAGTTTGCCCTTCTTCCCGAATCTCATAACACCCTTCATTGGCGAGACTTTCAAGAGGACCTTCTCACCAACCATAAATGATACATCACACACCTTCTGATCCACGTAACTCTTCTATCTGGACAGAGCTGTGCGAAGCCTCTCCTGGATTAACTTTACCTTGTCCAAGGCATCCTGTACCAAATCTGTACCGTATAACTTAGCTTCACCAGGCTCAAACCACCCGATAGGAGCCGACAACGGCGACCATATAAAGCCTCGTATGGAGCCATCTCTATGCTGGACTGATAGTTGTTGTTGTATGCAAACTCTACCAAGGGCAAAGACTGATCCCACTACCCTCCAAAGTCAATCACACATGCTCTGAGCATATCCTCCAAAATCTGCACTATCCGCTCTGACTGCCCGTCGGTCTAAGGATGGAATGTTGTGCTGAGCTCTACACGGGTCCCCAACTCACTCTGAACGGCTCTCCAGAAATGAGAAGTGAACTGAGGGCTCCTATCTGATATGATAGAAACAGGCACACCATGCAACCGGACTATCTCCCGAATGTAAATCTGAGCATACCTCTCTGCTATATAAAAGGTTGCCACTGGAATTAAGTGGGTCGACTTGGTCAGCTTGTCAACAATGACCCACACTGAATCAAACTTCCGCAAAGTCCGCAGCAACCCAACTACAAAATCCATGGTGATGCGCTCCCACTTCACTCTAGTATAGGCATCTGCTGAAGTAGGCCACCTGGCCTCTGGTGTTCATACTTGACCTGCTGGCAATTCAAACACCTAGCCACATACTCTACTATATCTTTCTTCATCCTCCTCCACCAATAATGTTGCATAAAAGTCCAATTCATATCCTAAAATACTCAATTTATAAACTAAAAGTTCAATTCATATCCTAAAAGTTCAATTCATATCCTAAAAGTTCAATTCATACACTAAAATTTTAATTCATATCCAAAAGGTTCAATTCATAAACTAAAAGTCAAATTCATATCCTAAAATACTCAATTTATAAACTAAAAGTTCAATTCATATCCTAAAATTTCAATTTATAAACTAAAAGTTCAATTCATATCTAAAAAGTTCAATTCATAAATTAAAAGTTCAAATCATATCCTAAAATTACAATTTATAAACTACAAGTCCAATTCATAAACTAAAATTCCAATACATAAACTAAAAGTCCAATTCATATCCTAAAAGTTCAATTCATTATCCTAAAATTTCAATTTGTAAACTAAAAGTCCAATTCATATCCAAAAAGTTCAAATCATATCTTAAAATTACAATTTATAAATTACAAGTCCAATTCGTAAACTAAAAGTCTAATTCATATCCTAAAGGTTCAATTCATATCCTAAACCCTAGATTCTAACTATACTATCAAGACAATACAAAGTATAATTCAAATCCAACTAAACTAAATTAAACTAATTAGTTAATAAAATTAATTAACAAAACTAATTAAAACAAGACCTAAACCCTAATCCTCAATAAAATACAATGTTCAAAGAATTGAAACACTAATTGAAACAATAAACTACAATACATCAAATATTGTAACACACACACTAGAAATAACAAAGATTGAAGGTTATAATTCTAATCTTGGTTTTTTTAGGTGGAGAAGGAGAGAGAGAGGGGCGGCAGTGGTGGTGGCCGGCGAGCAGTGGGCGGCGAGCAAGGGGGCAGTGGTGGCGCGGGGTGGAGGATGGGATTTGGGTGAGCGAAGTAGAGGAGGGGGGGGGGAGAGAATTGGGAAAATTTTGGGGAAGGAAATAAGAGAAGGGGGGGACCCGTTTTTGTCTTTGGATTTAGGAAAAGCGACCAACTTTGGTCGCTATTTTTGGTATGTAAATAAGTTTTGACCGTTTGACCAAAAATAGCGACCAACGTT